TTAAATCTAATTTCTTCTCAGTCATTTTTACTATATTTTACTATTAGCTATGCTCTGGAAGTAATTTACAGCTATCGTGTCTGCAGGACTGAAATGCTCTACAGTGGCATGCGTTCTACGGGAAAACTCAACTCCACCCTCAGAGACATCACGCTGGCAGGCTGAAATCAGCCATGGGGGGAGTACTGGAAATTGGCAAACACTACAAAGCAGGCCTTGACTTATTTATGTGTTAATTGTCCAGATCAAAGAAAGGGATGCAAAAGATGCTAATATGCCAATTAAAAGTGAGTAGTGTGCATAGCTGTTACATTATGACTAGCACAAAAAATTAAGAAAATATTCTTGGGCATTTAAACCTATTATCTGACTCTCAGTAAAGAAGCTGCTTATGTCATTAGCAAACAAGTGATATTCCAACATATGTCTTGTTTCACTTCTGTCTTACTCCTTAAAGTAAATAAAAACAGCAACCAAAAGTTAGGTCAGAATGACACTACAAGCTAACTGCAAACTTTGGTTGGCTATAGATATGAGACTCTGGCAAAAATCAGTGAAAACATTTTGTGATAATCAATTGACTATAGGGAATTTATGATTAAAAATACCATACATTTTATTATTACTTATAAATTATGTAATAAATATCCTTTATGTCAGCAAAATTTATACTTTTAATATGTTAAATAAGTAGATGTTAAATAGGTAATGTTTTTTTCCAGAGAGCCTGCTGTTAAATATTTACCAGTATATTACTGGGCACAAGGGAATATTTTAAATAACGGAAATTATCTGTGTACTGATTGGCGATTTGGTTTCATGGTATATGCATTTTCAAAACTCATCAAACCATACAGTTAAAGTGTGTGAATTATACTGTATCCAAGTTATATTTTGATACATTTGATTTTTAGAAAAACAATATAAAATTGAAGATCCTTTGATAAGCTAATAAAGACTCCAGTGAATTCCACAGTACCTGGGCCTTGAGAAAACATTTGGGGGTCATAACACAGTTTGTTCAGTTTTTTGTCTTTTGTTTTACTTGAAACCCAGAGAAGACAAACCTGAAAATGTCTTCTAAACACCTGCTGGTCTCCCAGCCCAGACAGAGCTACAACTCAGGGCCCTCCGTCCTGAACCAGCACACCTTTGTCATCCTCGGAAAATATCCAAGAATTCACTCGTCTATTAAAATAATGTCTGAGATGAATAGCCTCTGTAGTAATTATCAGCTGAGAGTAAAGGAAATGAGTCTTTTGCACTTTTCAAAGCCTCTTTTATCTAAATCTTTGATGAATTCCCCAAGAGCAGCCTTTCAGGCTCAGCCCTTTGTACAGGAGGTGAGCAGGAAAGACCCCATTCACCTGGAGGCATGTCTTGGCCACAGCACACAGAGGAAAGCCAAACCTAGAAGTTAAA